TCTCTCTCTCTCTCTCTCTCTCTCTCTCTCTCTCTCTCTCTCTCTCTCTCTCTCTCTCTCTCTCTCTCTCTCTCTCTCTCTCTCTCTCTCTCTCTCTCTCTCTCTCTCTCTCTCTCTCTCTCTCTCTCTCTCTCTCTCTCTCTCTCTCTCTCTCTCTCTCTCTCTCTCTCTTTCTCTCTCTCTCTCTCTCTCTCTCTCTCTCTCTCTCTCTCTCTCTCTCTCTTTCTATGTGGTTTATTTATTTGGCTTGTATTTTTGGAGAGTTTTTTTTTCTGTGATTGAAAATATTGTGTTTTAATAAAGGTGCTTTTCAAATTCAATTATCTCTCTCTCTCTCTCTCTCTCTCTCTAGAGGATGACTGTGGGGATGGCAGTGATGAGGTGGGCTGCGTTCACGCCTGTTCGGTGGCTCAGTTTCAGTGCTCCAGCGGGAAGTGCATCCCTGAGCACTGGATGTGTGACGGGGACAATGACTGTGGTGACCTCAGCGACGAGAACGCCACCTGCTCTAGGACAGGTGCTCATGATTGCACAAAACACAAACACACAGAAACATTGACCTAAAACTGACGTCTTCCACCTTCAAAATGTCAACATTTGTAACCACTAAACTTGCATCACCAAGACTCTTTCCCTCCATCAGCGCTCTCTGCTGTTAACGACTGCAACGAGAGAGAGTTCCACTGCCGTGGTGACGGCACCTGCGTTCCCGAAATATGGCGCTGCGACGGAGACAAAGACTGTGAGGACGGTAGCGATGAATTCGCCTGTGAGGGAGCCAAGAGAATGTGTGACCCCAAGGCAAAGTTCACCTGCAAGGTCTCAGGTAGAAAGCAACATCCATTACATAATCACATTATCACATTACATAATCAAGATTCATCCTTTGGAAAATTCTCTATAACGTCATCACTGGGTGAAGAGGCTCATAAATATGATCATTAATCGATTGGTTGTGGCCTGGGGTGGTGTGATGAATCAGCACTCATTCAAATTTTATTACATTACTGTTATTCCACTGAAAATGGGACTGTGATGTGGAAAGTCGCTTCCAGAAGACCATTGATTATTGCTTTGCTTCCCTCTAGACTGAATTAATCATGTTTAAGATGCATCGTTATGTTCTGATTGAGGCAGACCGGGAATATTTTATTACCCTTCTGAGTCGGTTCAGGTAGAATTGTATTTGTGTTCGTGGGTAAATGTGTGCGTGTGAATTGATCTGCGATGCTGAACTTCAAAAGTTAGAGGCTGGAAAGTAGAGCATTTGCCACTTTAAAAAAGCTGGAGGCTGGTTTATGAGAGGAACTTTTGAGGGGAAAAAAGACCTTCTTCAATTTGTGACGTAATATACATAAGGGCTGTCAATCAACAGCAATGGCAGGTAATCAATACATATGGATATTTTCCCCAAATAAAGCTAATTCAAAGACATTGCATTATTGTGTCTTAAAAACCTGCTGAAAACATTTTAAACCAGCCTAAACTGGTTTCCTGGTCTTAGATGGTCTGTCAGACATGTCTATTTAAATAACCAAATGAATAACAATTAATCAAATTTAAATGGATATTTGCTTTAAAAAAAATCCAATTACCTTCCTGCTGAAAAAAAAAAAAACAACTAAAACCAGCCTAAGCTGTTTGGCTGGTTATAGCTGGTCTTCCAGCCTGGTCATAACTGGTTTGCAGGCTGGTTTTAGATTGGTTTTAACCACTACTTTAGCTGGTCAGGTTGGGAGACCAGCTAAGACCAGCCAAACAGCATATACATTTTTCCCCCCAGCAGGGATTGCATTATTGTGCCCCCCAAACCTGCTGGAATAATCTTAAATCTGCCTAAACTGATTTTCTGGTCCTAGCTGGTCTCTCAGGCTTGTATAATTAACCACATTTATGGAAATTAATCAAGTGTATGTGGGTATTTGCTGAAAAAGGTATCAAATGAAGCTAAATTAACGACTGCATTATTGTACTCAAGAAACATGCTGAAAACATCTTAAACCAGCCTAAACTGGTCTTAGGTGGTCTCTCAGGCTTGTCTCTTAGCTGGTTTTAGAGGTTTTGGGAACTTATTATCCTGGATGACCAGCTAGCTGTCTAGCTAACACCAACTTGACTTAGCTGGAAGATTAGCTAGAAAAGCTAAAGACCAACATAGGCTGGTTTATAAGCAGTTTTTTTTTCAGCAAGAAGTAAATGTATTTTATGTCCATATCATTAATCATAAGCCTATCACTAGCCTACAGAAAACGTCCTGTGTGAACATCTCCTTATTCATTCATTCTCTCGCTAAGTGCCCTCTGTAGCAACTTTATAGCATGTTTACATTAGCAATTTAAAGCACATAACGGTTTCACATTTGAGGTGTCACTGTGTGTAATTTATGCTGTGGAACAAAACGTGAAATTCGCAAGCCTCATTTTATTCTTAAATCTAAAACCGCTGTTGTAAAGCCATTAGAAATCCCTGAGGGGAGCTGTTAGCGAAAATGCTAATTCGCTCCCAGGTTGTAGGGCTACAAACCGAACAGCTAGAAGCTATAGAACAATTGTCAAAATGTTTTAGTGCTTAGGACCTTTCATAAACATGGAGGAGGTTTTAATTTTCGCCTTTTTAATCGCATCTAGCCTGGTTAGGAGATAAATTCAGGTAGTACAGAGACCTAGCTAAATAAGTTTATATAAAACCCAAAGTAAAGTGAATTAAAATCTGATTAAATTAAGTCTTGGTGAAAGTCTAATGAACATGAAGACACTATTTGGTCTTGGAAGATACAGAAAAGTAATTTATGTACTCATCGCCCTGTTTCACCTTCTTAAAGGACTTGTCTGGAGAGATAATGAGGGAACCGCTAATGACTTGTCTCACATACATGAAAAAAACCCCAAACACCTTAGGTTACTCAGTACACCATTAAGAAGAACTGATAAGGATTCTGTATGAAAATGTACAGATAAACTCATGTCTCACATTAAATTGGAGAAAGGGGTATTTAAATAAATACATAATAAAAAAGTGGCTATGAAACTGTCAGTCCAAACGCTAACAGCTAACAGTAGCTTTTTATTATCACTTTGTTCCCCTCACATGCTTTAGAAAGCACTTGAATGTGTTCTTATGTCGCAAATAATCTTTTTATAACGCAAAAAATAAACAAAAACAAAGATTATGTACCCCATTATCGCTAATGATACAGCAAACACCAAGGACCAAAAAGCACTGTGAAACTGTATGTAGCCCTATGAGAAATTATATGCCATATCTCAGATATGCTAGAGTGTTTTGGTTAAAGAAAAAGTGTGCAGAAAGCAGATAGCTTTGTAGAGCAACAACGCAGAGAGTTAATGATGTTAAAAAAAAGTCATTTGTAACGCATTTGTTTTCTCATGCATAGGGAAATGCATTAGTAAGGACTGGGTGTGCGACGGAGACATCGACTGCGAGGACCAATCAGATGAGGAGGGGTGTGAAGTGTCCGTCTGTAAGCCTCCAAAGTTTCCCTGCGGCAATGACACGTCTGTGTGCCTCCCGCCAGAGCGAATCTGTAACGGTTGGAGGGACTGCGCGGACCATTCCGACGAGGGACCATACTGTGGTGAGTCATGGGATGTGGGTTGTTAGTTAACACTGACTGGCCCCTGACACTAATGGTGATATGAGGTTTAATGTGATGAATCAGCTTCCTCATTGGAACAACATTGCTATTAACCAATCAGATTTCAGGTTTGGTTTAAGGTTAGATATGGGCATTGAACGATATTGTTTTGAAACAATACTTTTCTATTGTTTAAGGGCTGTACTGTTTTTTTTTTTAATATCCCTGATTTTTTTTCCCTTTTATAGATGCCTGTTATGATAGATACTCTGATGCCTCAGAGTAAGTAAATACATAAATACTTATACTTTTGTAAGAAAAATAAAATAATTAATAATGTATTTTCATCTATTTTGATTTTATTTAAATTAATTTTATTTAAAAACAATTTTACAGGAGAAGTGGTTAGTTGAAATACAAAATCCTAATTGTTATTCCCAATTGTGATAATTTAAATCGCAATTAGGCATCCATAAATATACCTAAACATATATTAAACATACAAAAAAAAGTTATACAAAAAAAAGAAAATTGTGTAAGATATCTGAATCGATTTTTATCTTAAAAAAACAAACAAACAAAAAACCCTCAATAAACCTTATTTTTGACTTAAATCATAGAAAAAAGGAATAATATTCAAGATGTAATAATATACAAGCATAATATTCTATGCATTCTATTATTATGTGAGATAGTAATAATTATTGCTATTATATAATAAAATATTTTCAATAATATATTTTAGTTTATTAATAATAATAATAATAATACATAGTATTATCTTGCTTCTCAAGTAAAGTTATCTGGTTTATCTCAATTCTTAGAAATTTTTACTGGAAAACGGGGAAAAAGACTTGTTACTAAAAATAGATGTTTTATTTATTTATATTTTTCTCTCTGGAAGTGCTGTCATTTTCCCTCAATTTCATTCTTTTTTTTTTCTTTCCAAAAATGAGTTTTAAGATAAATTGTACTCTTATAAAAATGATAAAGCATAATATTCTCTGCATTCTATTATTATGCAAAATTGTTATATTTTATAGACTCCCAAATAATGTATTTATATGCTACTTTAGTCATTAATTGATGTGAAATAAATGGATTTTTTGTGGCAAGTGTACGATGTGTTCTCACACAGTGATTCCGGATGCTGTGTGTGGCTCTTGGGGGATTGGAGGATTTTAGTGAGTGTGTATTAAGGTTCATTTAGGAAAGCTTCAGAGAGAGATCTCTTCCCTCAGGTGAGATGAGATAGCGCTGGAATATCAGCTTAGAGCCAATTACATCTATAGTCTCCTCCTCTCTTTCTCTCTCTCTCTCTCTCTCTCACACACACGCACGCACGCACGCACACACACACACACACACACACACACACACACACACACACACACACTTTCCCCTCCAGACTGATTAAAGCTGGAGAGCACGCTGAAAACTGGCCTCTGAGGATTTGAGAGAGAAGAGAAACAGACTCTGTACGGTCTGTTTTGCGGTCAGTAATGACTGAAGAGACTCATATATATATATATATATATATATCATCCACCGTCTAGTTGTGAATCACCTTATTTTTGGTACAAAATATGAGGAATGGCACAACAAAATCTCTCATACTCTCCAGTCATATGACATTTAGCTGAAATATCATCAGATATTGGTTCCATCTGTCAGAGAGGAAATTTGACTGTGAATTTATTTCCTCCTTTCGACCAAAATTATTAGGTTTTGTTCAGACAGGCAGCAAAAATCCAACCCATATCAGTTTAATTGTTTGTAGCAAAAAACGCATGGAATCTGATTTGAACAAACCTCATCCAAACCAAATCAATATTGTGGTTTAAAATCTGATTAAAATCCAATGTGTGTCAGATCAGATCGGGTTTTGTTTTCGGAGTTCGGGACGTGACGTCAGTGAAGTACGGCTAAAGCTATAGTGTTAAACACTCACAAAAAGCGTCTTCAGCTGAATTCCCTCTTTTATGCACACACGTGTCGTTCTCTTTGTAATGAATAGTGAATGAGCAAAGGAGCGAGCCGTTTTGAACAGCGTGTGCCAACTTTTCTCTTTCTACAATGACAGCTTCTTTTGTATGTGTCTTAGCACAAGTCATCACTATGGCAACCATGCAGATGCCAGATTTTGAGTACACTAAAAATTTTGAGTATGTTAACAAATGGATCAGATTTTTTAAATATATAATTGTTGTTTATACATATATTTTACTTCTTTTCAATTATTTATTCATTTGTTCCAATAAATAAATAAATAAATAAATAAATAAACAAATAAATCTATCTATCTATCTATCTATCTATCTATTAAGGTACTTTCTTAACCATTTGTAAATTATATTGAATACATTAATAAAATGAAAGGAAAACAATTTGTCATTAAGATAAGAATAAGAAACTTAATTCAAAATATATTTTCTGAAAGTCTCTTAATATATCAAGAATTGTGCTTCTCTAAAATAAAAACAAATATTAAAAAATAGTATTTATTTATTTAGAATAGAAAATAGAAAATAGAAAATATAAATCATGTACATGATAGCATTTGAAGAGTTTGGTTCCAGAACGCGATAAACGCCATTTAAAAAAAAAAAAATTGAGTTTTTGCCTAAATCAGTATTGTATCTGGTCGGTATTGAAAAGTCCATTTTTAATTTTACGCAAAATGCGATATCCGCCGAGTTATTCTGTCATGTTTTCTCCCTTTTTTTCCAAACCGCGACAAACGCCAGTCTCCCTTCTCTGCAGAATGCGATATATCCGCTCAACCAATCACAGCGCACCATTCCACGCACTGTAGACAGTAATGGCGGCGCTTTGAATACACCCGGCATCCTAGTTTTCTGTAAAAAAAAAATATACAGTTTTATAATAAATCTTTGAAAATCAAAATCTGGATTTGAATTTTTTATGTTATTATAAGCTAAAGATGCTATGTGAAAGTTTGAAACAGAAAATAGTGGTTTTCAAAGAAAACACATTTTTGCTCAGATTAATCAAAATGGATTTATAGCGTTTTGGAACCAAACTCTTCATTTATTTATTTATTTTTAATTTGTTTCCTTTAGAAAAACATTTTGCCATTTAAGCTAAGAATAATAATAAAATATATTATCTGAAAATAAATCTTAATATCTTAAACTTTTGCTTCTCGAAAATAAATAAATATGTATAATTATACAATTATGTAAATGATACAATTAATTGATTTATTTTTATTTACTTTTTTCTTTGTAATAAACTTAATTGAAAATATATTTATTTTAATATAAATTATTTTATTTAACTTTTTATTTCTATTCTATTCTATTCTATTCTATTCTATTCTATTCCTAAGAATAATAATAAAATATATTATCTGAAAATAAATCTTAATATCTTAAACTTTTGCTTCTCGAAAATAAATAAATATGTATAATTATACAATTATGTAAATGATACAATTAATTGATTTATTTTTATTTACTTTTTTCTTTGTAATAAACTTAATTGAAAATATATTTATTTTAATATAAATTATTTTATTTAACTTTTTATTTCTATTCTATTCTATTCTATTCTATTCTATTCTATTCTATTCTATTCTATTATCACTGGCCTTTAATAAAACAATAGTGTCATTTGTGTTGGCACTGCATTGAAAAGCTGTAGCCCGAATCCCAGCAAGCGCAGGTTCAGCGGGCCTGAAAAGAGCATTTAACGTCACATTTCAGTCTAATGTCCCTGTTAATTTTAAAAGGGCCAATCAAACCCCCATTACCTTTAAGCACGCTCTCAATGTCCTGCTAAAATATCTTGGACATGACAATGAAAACTGGACTGAACCCAAATCCTGCAAAGGCGCTGGCAGAGATGAATGCACTCGTCCTGGTCAAGATAAATACAAAATCGTCAAAACCCAATGGTCTAGAAACATTCCAAAAATTTTCTGAGTTAGATAAATATTGTTTAAAACAGACCTGGCCCTCACGTTATAGAACTAATCATGATGAATGAGCCTACAGATCACGTTCCCAGCTTTGTAGAGTGAATCTTGGAGAGAAATAGGTCACCATTTTTTTGTTCTTTGTTAGTATGCAACTCAAATGCTTTAACCAGATTGTCAGTGCTTAACTGGTTCTTTACTTTATATATCTATATAACTATATCAACAGCTCTTTCCTGATCTCACTGGGCTTTGCAAGGTTTTGCCCTGCGGCTGCTTTTCTCTGTGCTACAGAAGATGTGTGAATGGACCTGCTGGCCTTTGCTATACTATGACTTGTGAATTATAGTTTGTTTTTAATGCAACTTGATGAGATCTGACATACAGCTGGACAGTCTTGGATGCCTAGAAAAATCTGTCATCTCTCCAGTGTCGGGGAAAGTTAATTTTAAAAGTAATGCATTACAAAATTGCATTACTCCAAAAAAAAGTAACTAATTATATCTATCTATCTATCTATCTATCTATCTATCTATCTATCAAAGATCCATTATTCTCCTGTTAAAACTTTTTAATTGTCTGTATTAGTAACTTCGCTCAGACCTCACGACTCCTCAGTATCACTAGTGCCAGATTGTACTCTAGCTTGATTGAATGTACTTTCACTTGCCATTTTACACCTTTTCGAGCTCTTTTTCCCTCATCAATTATCCATTTCTGTTCCCCACAGCTCTTCTGCCTGTGCTTTGATGTTTCCATTTGAGAGTCTAGCACATGTTTATTCACTCCAGAACTCCACCAATGTGACTGCCTTGAGGTTTATGGATACATTATCCTCTGTCAGTGCTAGACACTTCATTTAAACCTTGAAACCACTTGCTGTTCAAGGTGGTGTTACCTTGAATCCCTCTGTGGCCTCAATTTTAGGGGGAAGATCAAACCAATGTATTTCTTATAGTTGTCGCCTAATTGGTTGGGATTAATATTTTAGCATATAATTACTATATAGCCACTGTCCTGCCAAATCAAAGTGTTTAAAAAGCTTTTTTTTGGTTGTAATATAACCTTTCTATGCCTCAATAGTTTATCCCACGAGCTTGATTTTTAATGTTCATTTAAAAGAGTTTGTTTTCCCCCCAAGTGCAAAGCCATTTGCAACAAAGGTACGCTTTATCATCACTGTTAGAAATAACATTATTGCGCTCATTACCCAAGAGGGTAGCTGCTATATTCTGCTAGTTGACAACTTTAGCTAATACTTAACCACGTTTTTCCATTCAGCATCTCACCATGGGACCACTTCAGTGACGTACCGTCACATTTCATCGTCCAAACCTACAGTCTTCAGCCATAAATCACATTAAAGTGATACCAAGGGTGGAAAAGGCTTGGAGTTCAGTGCCTCTTAGCTTTCATTAGAAGAATAACTAAGAAGAACAGATATCCTGGAGCAGCATAACTATATGGTACACTGAAAAAAAAAAAGTTTTAGTACTGGCTTAGTACCTTAGAGTGTAATATGTCCCCTTAAAATGCTATGAATCTTTTAGTGGTAAATATGGTACAGATATGTTCCTTTGCTGCCCCAGTGAGATGCTGTTGTACCCCTAAATGGAGCATGTCTATGAAATGGAATAAGAAGTCATTGAGTCGGTCCACTTGCTTTCAATCGCTCTAGCTGCCCAAGAAGCATATAGCCTGGAGCACCAAACTCTTTCTTGTTTGTTCATTCTCTGCTATTTCCTTCAGCTCCTCCAAATGTCATACGGCTCCCTGCTGTTTGGCCGTATGTCTACTGACGAATTCCATCAGTTCTTGCCGCCTCAATGTTCGGACCCTGCTATTTTCTTCTGAAGTGACAGTTTCTTCCGTTCTTTCTGACAGTAACCCCCTTTGCCTGCATTTTTTCTCCATCTCAGATGAGTGTTCGGTGAGGAAGGGCGACTGCAGTCACGAGTGCTCAGTGGCGCCGGGTAAAGGGGTCGTGTGTTCCTGTCCGGCCGGGTTCCAGCTGGGTTCGGACGGCCGGACATGCGAAGTCCTGGATTACTGTACCAAGCACCTACGCTGCAGCCAAGTGTGCGAACAACACAAGAATACTGTGAAATGCTCCTGCTATCCAGGCTGGAGTCTTGGACCCGATGGAGACAGCTGTTATAATACAGGTAAACAGCGGCATGATGATTCTTGGTTGGCCTGTGGTTAACGATTTGAATTTTTCACATGAAAATTAGAGGTTCAATCTCAAACAGGGTTAAAACCTGATTACAGTCCAAACTGCAAGGCAATTAACCTCAAGGGAACCAAATGACCCTTAATTTCTGAGCTGTAAATAACACGGATAAATGGCTGCAAGATGACAAGTAAGTTAATTGGTGACTCAGTTTTTTTTCAATGCATATTTATTCATATTTACTTTCGGAGAGAGGATTGTGCAGTCAGTTTTAAGGTGTAAAATGCATCTGTGATATGTATGCATTTCATTTTAGCGGTTTGACTTTACAAGAGAGCAAAAGCAGGCTGGGAATTATCAGAGAGCTCAGACTCCTGCGCACTTTATGTGAGTGGAGAGGAAGATATGCGCAAAGAGCACTCAGCAGCATGTTTTAATAAAAAGAAAAACAAGCTTTCACTGAAACACACAGCTCAGTTTTCAGAGCTGTCAAAGTCCGTTTAGTTTTTGTCCGAACTGAAACTGCCAGCTATAATTCATATTGCAGTCCACATAAGGTTTCCTCTTCAGTCTCAGACTTGTAGAGCTGTGTGCCGCATAACATTTTTGCTTTATTCATAGCTTGGAATATGCTAACATTTTATTCAAAGATTATTATTATTATTATTAAGTGATATTTTAATATTATTTATGAATAATTTTCAAATTTATTTTTTTCAATTTTACTTTTTTCAGTTTAATTTTACATCAATTTAATTTGCTTAATTTTGATCAACTCAGTATAATTTAATTTGTAATTTACTAAATATATGTTTATTTTATTAAATAAGGCATTTTTTATTTTAATTTGTTTTATTTTAACATCTCAGCATTAAATCTTTTTATGACCAACTAGTCAATGTTAAATGTTAATGTTGCATTACGTTGCAAAGTTTTTGGACTGTTTTCTTTTTTTTTTTTTTCACTTTACAGATTGCTATATACAGATTATTACATTATTACAGATTACAGATATTTTAATGCTTTTTCATTAATAATTTTACCATTACAATGCAAAAATTGCATACATGTGATTTATTTTATTTTAGCATTTTGAAATTCTTTGGTAATGTTTCTTAACAATGTTTCACTTGACAGATACAATTTCTCTTTTTGTCAATTTTACATTTAGTGATTTAGTCTACAAATGAGTAACATATCAATTTATTTAATTTACTAGCAATTTATTGTTAATCCAATTCCTAAAATACACACAGATCCTTTTTATTGGGATTTCATAGGACCAACAAGTCAACGTTAAACTTGCTTATGCATTTTCACAGTCCTATGCAGCATGCATTCTTGTTCTCTTTACCGATTGTTTTCTGTCTTTTTGTAGATCCTTTTGAGGCGTTCATCATTTTTTCCATCAGACACGAAATTCGCCGCATCAACCTGCAAAGGGGCGACTACAGCCTGTTGGTCCCTGGGCTCAGGAACACCATCGCTTTGGATTTCCATTTCAGCCAGAACCTGCTGTATTGGACCGATGTTGTAGAGGACAAAATTTACAGTGGGAAGCTATCAGAAGGCAGTGGTATGATTTACAATTTTTTTTTTTTACATAGTTTATGACAGTGTTAATATTTATGACTTAATTATACCATACAAGCTATAATATGATTCAGTGGAATTTACAGTGCATACTGTAAATATCATACTGGGACTGAAAACTGCAGAATTGAAAAAAAAAAGAAAAAAGGTTTGTGTCAAGGAATTATTTTGGATGAAAGTACTTTTAGGTGCAACCTCCTGCTTCTCCCATTTTCTCACAAAAAAATGTGTTTTCCTTGCCTGTCACTCCAGTACCAGTGGAAACATGAATAATGTGTCAAAAATATTTTATAAATATTGTCAAATCTAGCATATACTACAAGTTGCATTCAGTCCAGGATGTTTTCAAAGTGCTGTGATTTTTTATTATTTAATACTATTTGTATTTTATTTAATTTTTTCATTTTATTTTATTTGAAAAATATTTAAGGAGTGACTGATACCCCTTTATTTTAATAAAATAAATTTAAACAAACAAACAAAAAAATGCTACATTTATGTTAAGTGATGTTTATGTCCTATTATATTTAAAAAGATCAAGGTAAATGTTTTTTTTTTCCATGTCTCACGAATCATGATTCTTATTTTTATTATTGTTGTTCAGCATATTGTGAAGATATATTTTTTTTAGCTCTGTTTTACACTTAAAAGGCCAAGTCAGTCTACCAACTGTGTAAATATTTCAGCTTCAAAAGCTCCCAAAATGTGAGAAGTAATTTACACTTAGATCACAAAAGAACTGATGAGTAGATATTGAGAAATTTCACATATTTCATAGCGTACCAAATTACACTCACCAAATGCCAAATTCAAGTAATCTTGAGCTTGACCGACCAGCTAGCAACCATTTATTTCCTTTAAAATAACCCAGTTTGTTGTCCCGGCAGGTGTTTCGTCAATCGAGGTGGTGGTCCAGCATGGTCTAGCCACTCCAGAAGGCCTTGCTGTTGATTGGATAGCGGGAAATCTCTACTGGATTGACAGTAACCTGGACCAGATTGAGCTGTCCAAGCTAAATGGCGAATTACGAACCACCCTCATCGCCGGGGGTATGGAACACCCTCGGGCCATTGCTGTGGACCCCGGCCAGGGGTACGTTTCTCAATCCAGTTGAAGAAAATAACAGCAAAGCACCAGTTTTCCAATTACTTTATAGCTTTAATGAACAACTTCAGTGATTGATAGCTCCATTCGGTGGTTTGCGAATCGTAATGAACCCATCTAATCACCCATAAAGGAGTTTTTAAATGATTTCCAAAAGGGATATTACCATGAAATTGGGCCATTACACATTCTTACCTGTTTTGTAATTGCGCTAATGCTAATGCTTTTAATGAGGATGTGGTTTGCAAGTAACCCTCATTTGAAAGTCGTTTAAGGTAGATTTTAACATAGAGTTTTGTCGTCAACAGTGCCTTGTTCTGGACCGATTGGGACGCCACGTTTCCTCGCATCGAAGGTGCTTCCATGAGCGGGAAACAGCGGCATGTGGTTTTCAAGGACATGGACTCCGGCGCTTGGCCCAACGGACTGACCTTGGACCACATGGAGAGCAGGATAGTATGGACAGACGCCCGGTAAGAAGCACGCAAACATTTTTTCGCAAGACAAGACCGTTAGGGAATGTTTTGGATGGAAACGAGAGGGTGGAATTGGGAATAAGCTCGGATTCAGTCGTTTGTAACAAATTGAAGCACTCGTTTGGTTGAATGATTGATGTGTTTTTGTACCGGTTCAAATTCGAGATCCACCTCTGCTGGCGATGAAATGACAGGCCGACAGAGATATGCTATTACTATTGATTATAATTTTGCCCATCAAGTATTTTTTAGTATTTTACAAAGCAGCGGCGTAGCAATTTTGCTGTTTTGACACATTCATAAACTCTCATCTTGAATTTCTCACAGCGATAGTTTAATTCCTCTTGTGCCCGGTGGCTCCAAATGCACCGCAAATTAATATTCAGATAATGAGATTCTTGGACTTAATGAAGAATCTGATCAATTCTCAGCTTTCGATTACCTCATTTTTGTCTCTGTTATATTCAGATCACACATCTCTCTTTCTCTCTCAGTCTGTCAACAGCATTTCTTTCTTTTTTTCTCTCTCAACCGTGTCTCATCATTAAGGCATCAGTGCACTTTAAAGTCTTTCTTGCAAACTATTTTTACTGTTTTGTTTTTACTGTTTTTTTTTATTTTTAGTACACAGTCTTTGTAGTAAAAATGTAGAATATGTTCATATATTCTTATATATATATTGGTATAAATATACAAATGGAAACAACAAAGCACAGGCAGAAGAGCTGTGGGGAACAGAAATGGATCATTGATGAGGGAAAAAGAGCTCGAAAAGGTATAAAATGGCAAGTGAAAGTACATTCAATTAAGCTAGAGTACAATCTGGCACTAGTGATACTGAGGAGTCGTGAGGTCTGAGCGAAGTTACTAATACAGTAGAGACAATTTAAAAGTTTTAACAGGAGAATAATGGATCTTTGATAGATAGATAGATAGATAGATAGATAGATAGATAGATAGATAGATATATAGATAGATAGATAGATATTGTATAGGTTGTTATTTTACTTCAAGCAAACTTTGATTTATTTTGAAACTACTTGGTTGATGTCAGTTAACTGAGTTGTTGTAATTCTTAAACAGGATTTATTAATTTTTATTTAATTTAGTTGATTTAATTTGATTTAATTTTGATTTGAAACAACTTGGTTCCATTCAGTTAATTGAAATGTTCTAATTCAGAGTTAAACAATATTACATTTGTTTTGTTTCAGTTTGATTCAGGTTGAGTTGACTCGAGAAAGTTCAGTTAATTTATTTGTCATAATTAAGATAATTTATTAAGAACAAGATTTATTTTAAGATCTTTTAAATGTATATTCAATTTATTTATTTTTAAGTTCGAATTGATTCAGTTCAGGTTGATTTGATTTGATTTGAAACAACTTTGTACAGGTCATTTAATTAAATTGTCCCAATTCAGAGTTAAACAAGATTATGTTTGATTTGATTCAGTTAAATTCAGGTTGGTTTGACTCGACTCAGTAACTAAATTGTTGTAATTCAGAGTTCAAGATTTATTAAGTTAGATTTGATTTGAAACAACTTTTGTTAACTGAATTGTCATAATTCAGAGTCAAACAAGATAAGGTACGATTTGAATCAGTTTGATTCAGGTTGATTTGACTAAACTAAATTCAGCAAATGTATTTGTTATAATTTAGAGTTAAACAAGATTTATTAAGTTGGATTCATTTTGATGTTGATTTGATTTGAAACAACCTGGTTCAGTTCAGTTAATTTATTTGTCGTAATTCAGTGTTAAACATGATTAAGTTTGATTTAATTCAAATCAGGTTGTTCTGATTTGATTTGACTCAGATTAACTTTAGTTTAGTGAACTGAATTGTTGTAATTCAGAGTTGTATTTCAGGTAGATTTGATTCAGCTCAGTTCACTTAATTGAACTGACACAATTCAGAGCTAAACCAGATTTGCAGAGTTTGATTCTAGTCAAATAAAATCATCCTGAACTGAACTGAATCAAATCACACTTAACAAATCTTGTTTTTAATTCTGAATTCGACTCAGTTCAGTTAATTGAACTGAGGTAAATCAACATGAAACAAGATTGAATATATTTGATTCAGTTTTGTATTGTGTAGAAATGTGTATTAGGAAAGTGAATAAGGTGGATTGCATTTCATGCTGACTTTAAAATACTCTAATGATGATAATTAGAAAATTATTTGTCCTTCCTCAGATCTGACGCTATATACTCTGCTCTATATGACGGCACTGGGATGATTGAAATTCTTCGAGGCCACGAGTTCCTTTCTCACCCCTTCGCTGTGTCTCTCTTTGGAGGGAACGTCTATTGGACCGACTGGAGGACCAACACTTTGACCAAAGCCAACAAATGGACCGGAGCCAATGTAACTGTGATCCAAAAAACCAGCGCCCAACCCTTCGATCTGGAGATATACCATCCTAGCAGGCAGCCACAAAGTAAGAAACTGTCTCGCTGTCATTCAAAAGTGTCTGGAGGGACTTTGAAAGAGATGATGATTCGAAGGATCCAACAGAACATAATGAGAGAAACCTCTAGATTGAGTGAAGTTGTCATGTTGGATTAACAGCATACAATCACCCAGTTTTGGCACAGTCCCGTTTCTCACTAGAATATTTTAGAGACTAATTGGCTGCAAAGCTGTCTCGTCAAGAACTCCCTTGATTCCCATCAAGAATTCCCATAATTTCTGAAACATGAAACAGACAGTCAAACACTACAAGGTCACAATTCTCTTCTGAATGCCCTACTAAAAACTAAATGCACTTTCAATTAGAACCAAAAGATGTACCAAAACAGAAACAAAATAATGTTCTTTTGTGAAATTATTTATTTTATTTTATTAGTTTAGTTTAGTTTAGTTTATTCAGAACCAAAAGATGTACGAAAACAGAAACACAAGAATGTTTGATTTTTTTTATTATTATTGAAGTGATTCTGTACGAAAACAGAAACACAAGAATGTTTGATTTTTTTTATTATTTTTGAAGTGATTCATTTAATTTAATTTTATTTAATTTTATTTAATTTTATTTGATTACATTTGATTACATTTTATTACATTTGATTAAATTTACTTTTAAATTAAATTTTATTTTATTTTATTTTATTTTATTTTATTTTATTTTATTTTATTTTATTTTATTTTATTTTATTTTATTTTATTTTATTTTATTTTATTTTATTTTATTTTATTTTATTTTATTTTATTTTATTTTATTTTATTTTATTTTATTTTATTTTATTTTATTTTATTTTATTTTATTTTATTTTATTTTATTTTATTTTATTTTATTTTATTTTATTTTATTTTATTTTATTTTATTTTAGTTTAGTTTAGTATCGCAGTTCCATATTATCTTAGAGTCTGGTTGCAGGCATAAAATGTTTGCTCAAGCATAAAGTCAGCATAAAATTAAAATTTGCCTTACTGAACTTATTGTGAATGATTCATTCATTCTATGTCATTTTTATGAATTTTCTGCAAACATAATTTTTAATCAAAATCTCATAACTGGATCTTCCAGTGAAAATGAGAGACTTCTCTTTGGTGACATATGTAGGACATTTCATCATTTAGTCCACTTTTTCTTCAAAGTGTCAC